AACGAAGGAACGAAGGAACGAAGGAACGAAGGAACGAAGGAACGAAGGAACGAAGGAACGAAGGAACGAAGGAACGGTAAAACCAACGAATTAGCAGACAAAAAAGAGAACGGACGAACGAACAAACGAACAAATGGATCGACGGACGGACGGATCGATGAATAAATTAAGTTATAAAAAAAAAATTAAGATTACTCACTCTCCATGAGGATGGACATCACTGGCACGAGACCTGCAGAAGTCCATAACAACTTGGCTTTTTGAAATGTTGTCAGGTGCATTGATTAGTTCCTGAAAACAAAATCAAAGGTTTCAGAGTTTCGCTTTGGCACTTGTCTCTGCTGAAGTACTTTCTCTCACAAATCTGTGAATACATTTCTATTTGGTGACTGAATTAAAATGCTTTTTGACTTACGTGGCAGAATTGGTTCATGAACTTCTGTCTCTTGCATGTTCCATCTCTAAAGCAGAACTGGCAGTTTTCACTGAATTTCCTCCCTAGAAAAATAAGTAATGAACAAAAATTTCTTCTGAATATTACATATTGTTCTTTCGTTGAGGAAACTTAACACAATTTTAGAGCTAATAATTTTAGCTTTTTTTACCTTTAAGAGCAAGGATTTCCTTTCCAAAGGCTGACGGAAATTCCTTTTTGAGGCTTTCCTACATTTAAGGACAATAAGACCAAAGAATATCAAACTTTTTTTTTCGATCTTTACACTGTCCTTATTGCGTCATAAAAAGTTATCAAAAATTGTTTTCTTGCAATGATTCGTAGACTGCGTAGCTGGAGGGATTTTACACTCGGAGGGGAGAGAGGGGTGCTGTGAGGGGGAGGGCAAATCTGCCCCCCACCCCCCTCCTTTTATATCACCCATGTTACTTTTTGGGAGTTAACAATTAAACAAACTCCCCTTTATCATGAATGACGTATGTGGAACAAAAACCTACCCCAGTGGAAACTTTGGAAAATATTTAAATTTAGGCGTTTGCTTGTATTTTGTTACCTGAAGAAAGAAAAAATCACTGCATGTCCTGTAGATTATGTTAATGTTCCCATCTGACCACACCACTTTGAGAATATAAACCTGGAAGACAAAAATTTAATCCAAATCTTAGCGACTTGCTAGTTCTTGCTGTAAAACATCTACGGTTTGCTGTGGGACATACGTCATGAAAATAAGAAGAACAACAAAGTACACAATAAGTTTACTTACGTAATTTTTATCGGGATTCTTCCTCTTTTGTATTCCTTCGACTGTAAGCAGCTTGGCTCGTCGGTTCATTTCAGATGTTATCGTCGGAGCGGCGACTTTCGCAACGTTCCTACCCGGGGACTAAAAAAAAAAGTAAAGAGCCTGTCTTATATGATTCCATCTGTGCCTTTTTGAGCATTACTCAATTTTATAGCGCATTCCACTCTATCTGAGGAAATAAGGTATTATAAAAGTGCTTATCCACTTTTCGTTTGTTTTGCTTGTCTTCACGACCATTACAATCGTTGCCAATTGTAAAACCAGGTTTATCAAAAACAGAAGGGGTCTTTTCTGTGTGCAGGTCGTTAATATATTGAAATAGTCTGGATCTGGCCGGTTTCGATGTTTGTAGCACGGTTGTTCCGGTACGAGGGAAAAACCTTTTGCCCTTCTTCATCAAGCTCTTTGAACTTGGGTTTTGAACGTCGCCTTGCCCAGTTCGAGTGTTGAGCAATTTTAATCTGTTTTCTTTTCAGGTTTATTTTCAAAATCCCACTTTAAGCAATTAATTTAAGAATCTAATGAGACTCATGCACGTAATGAACATATTAACTACCTTCTCTTTTCCTTGAGGGACGAGTCTTTTCAAGTCATCACGTTTCTGTTTGGGCCAGCTATCCAAATTTTCTTTGATTTGCCAATGCTCGTCCTGGTTGTCTGAAATTTCCTGCTGATCTAAGGTCTCTGGAGATATGGACCTGGATCTGCCAGGGGCAAGAAAAGCGCTCGGTGCCCACCCCTCACAGAAATCATTTTTGACGTACCACCAACCGCTGGACCCTTTCTGCAGCACGTCAACCTCCTCGCCTTCCTCCAGAGATACCTCACCGCTTTCCTCTGCGAAGAATGATCGAAGAACAACATGCTTCTTCCTAGTTGGGCTTCCTCTTCCATTGCTTTGTCTTGCACCAAATTGAGGTGAACTCTTCTTCTCCAACTTGAGAAGTGTCTCCTCCACTTCATCGGAATACTCAGAGTCAGTGGCTGAACTCTCACTTTGTACTGAAAGACTCTCATCACCCCCGGAACGTTGCTTGCTTGGCTCGTCATCAGGCTTGCTTTCCTTCAGTTGTTCTTTTTCGTTCAACAAATTATCAAGACCGACACCAGCACTAAATGACCTCATCTTTAGACCAGGTCTTGGAGTTGCCGCGTCAGTTCTGTCCAAGATTCCGTTATCGAGGGAGGTTGCTCTTGTCTTACTAGTGGTCACTGGGATGTCTTCACTTGTATGACGCTTATTCTGCCTGAGCTTTCGGTAAAGCTGGTCTCTCGTTTCCCCGATAAAGACAGGCAAGTCCTCTGCAATCCCGTTGGCACTATACCTTGTTTTTTGCTTTGCTATTGAACTCTTTTCAGGTAGTTTTCTAAGCGGATCTCGACCTATTAAAAACAAATTCGAAGAGTAGCACTTTTGTTTGAGAGGAGTTCACTGCAAGATCATTTCCTTTAAGTAAGCAAGCTCCCCGTCTAAGACGGGCAAAAAATTCAAAAACGCCGGGTTTACCAATAATATGCATGACCACATTGAAACCATTTCCCTTACCGCTTAATATTTCCGCCACTTTGTTGACGTTTTTCAATTTTTCGTCCTCCGAAGACCTGCGAGAAAAGAATTTAGGTCACTTCCTGCAAAGTGTTTAGATGAATTAATTGGGTGATGTTCATACCTTATAATTGTTCCCTGCTGTCCGTTGAGGGCACCGAAAAAATTCAGGACAACTTCAGATTCTCGCACCAAACTTGGAAGGCCCAACAGCTCCTGTTATTACACAGAGATAATTAAACATTGGATTTAAGAATTTGTTGATGTTTGCAAATATAATCGATTACCAGACACTACGTGAGAGGAGCCCGCGCTTCTCACGTGGACTGGACTCAAGAGAGCGGCAGAAATCGAGACTAGTTTACAAAGCGACCTATTAGATCACAATTTCCATCACTTGAATACTTAGTTAGAGTTGCTAGGGAGTTACCAGGGTTAATGGTGTAAGAACTTACCTTGATAAAATTATCCATTCTCGCCATCTTTTTCAACTCACTGTCTTTAAAGAGAATGCGGGAGAAGGCTGAGGCATTTTCTGCGAAGTATATTCTTCTGATCAGTTAATGAATCTAAAGCTGGTTTTAGCGGTGAGCTGAAATTGCCACGGTACGTAGTAGAGAAGCCTAGATTAATTTTTCTTGATCCTTTCAAACCATTTCACGGCTCTGGCCAAACCTCTAGTGTTTGACACTAGACAACATCCTAAATGGATGCCATCTTTGTAAATCATAATTTTAATTTCTTTTATAGGACTTTTATGTATGTTAGTTTTAGATAGTTTTAGTTAGGTGTCCCCTATTAGTAGTGGGGATTCTCATGTCCACTGCTAGATGTATTTGCCACTTAATAAAAGTTATTATTATTATTGACCATTGACCTGTCTATAACAGAGGCGGATCTAGGGGAGGGGCCCGGCGCCCCTTATTTTGGGTAAAAAAGAAGAAATCACAGAAGGAAGGAAACCCGCGGGGGAAGCAAAACAAAACCGCCCCACCCCCTTACCTCAAGGTCTGGACCCGCCACTGTATCAGTTATTGGTCAGCAACCATGCATCGCATTTTGTTTCGTCAAAATCAAAATCAAAGTCAATGTTATTTAAATTTCGGAACATGTTAATTTAGTTATATAGGGAATAAGGCATGCACTCAATATCGATCAAAAAAGACTTCGGGATAAATGTTTATCACCTTGACTAGACAAATAACTAAAAATGATAATACCTGGAAAGCAGGAAATAAGAGTTCTTGACGCCTTTTTTGAAAAGCCACCCTTTTTCTTGAGTAAGTCATAAACCGTTACCTACAAATGGTAGAAAATACTAACTTTAAAATACGGTTAAAATATGGTTTGTAAGCATCTGCAGTGGATCCCAATATTGTTACAGGCTGTTCTGTTCCCTCGTTCTCAAATAACAGCGATGTAAACAGGAAGTAGCGAAAGACCACACTACCAAATATGATACCTTATATAATGTATTTTGTTACGAAAAATTGTCTAAGTCAATTTCTAGAACAATCTAGAACCAGAAGTCATTCAGCCGTGACCAATTTGTATAAGAACATTCCAGAACATTCTGATCCTTTAGACCCCTTTTTAAAATCAAGCTGTTCGGTTCAAGTTTTTAAACGTATCTTAAAGAATAAGCATTTAGACAACTTTGTAAATACTCCCTAAACTTCATTTATTTTTAGTATTTTTCGCGACTACAAAGTTTAG